CTCTTCTCCATTTTTGGAATGGGAGCAATAGGTTGAGAAGGCTAAGCAACTAGCTCGACAACTGTGTGGAGCGCAGTTGGGTTTCGGTCCAGGCATGGTTCAACCCCGTTATCTAACACTCATAAAATTAATACAAATTGAAATACATGTTTGATTCATTTGCTGGTGCCCCCCTTTCCATTTTTGTTTTGTTTCCAAGGCCAGGTAGACTTTACACAAAGCAAGAATTTGTTTTGGTTTAGCATACAAAACTACTTGGTTAAAAACTGGATTCTAATTCCACCTTAGAAACTAGTGGGCTTTCCCTCGAGTATTCCCAGATTAAACAAACTACTTGTTATAGTAAATAATGCAGAGCCACAGTCTAAAATATTACCAAAACAAAATTTAAAAATACACTAGCATTACATATAACTGTTATGATAAACACAGTCTCTCCTTTATAATATTCTAACACTCCGGCAATATTCTATAGTCAAATTTTAGGGAAAGCTTCTGGGAAAAGAGGCTTTAAATGAAGTAACTTAACATTCATACTTCACTTTTTTTGACCTACCTCCTCTGATTAGTGCAAATTAGCAAGATTTTTACTAATTGCACAGAGCCCTGGTGGGGTAATGGTTACATGCTGGGCTGCTTGCTGCAAGTTAGCACTCTGAGCCACCAGCTGCTCCATGAGAGAAAGCTGTGGCTTTACAGTCTCAGAAAACCACAGGAGCAATTCTATCCTGCCCTATAGGGTCCCCATGAGTCAGAAATGACTCAATGGCTTTTTAAAAAAAAAACTATACCATAGTCCAGGTGAACACTAATAAAAAGTACTTTAACTCACTGATCTACATAAAGAGTTAGTTTTAAAAAGTTATCTTATGTACAAAGAAATAAAATGTTTATGTCTGATGGGGACTTTAAATCTGAAAGATAAGCAAGCAATCTAGAGCAGTATAGCTGAAATTTAATTCACTTAAAATTATGAAAATTCATCATTAAGATTTCTTATATTGAAAATCTGCCTGGTAGGCAGTTGCATTTAATTAGACAGGTACTGCTTTTGTAATGTCTCTTCTTCTCCATAAATAGTAATACAATTAAACAGTAAATATTATTCAACAAAGGAAATGTACTAGTCCAAAACAGAAGGAAATAGACCACTGTTCTATAAGAAGTGCTCGTATTCCATCTGAAATCATATTTCATGTCTTCTGTGTTTTCTTCTGTTTGAGCTGTCAACCACCTCTTCACTCTCCTACAATCCCTGACTTTAAGATCCTTTAATACAACCCACTATTAGCCATTCCTCTACTAGGAATGAGACTTACTTTGGTTTCATTACCAAAGTGATAGATAGATGGGGTTGCTCTGTTACTGGAGAACAGGAGAGGCCATGCCAGCTTCCAATCTTTTCTGGTAGAGAGAAAGAGTAAGCTCCCTTCCAAAAGTCTAAGTACCAGATTCATACACAGTTAACATGTTTCACTATTTCCAAATCAGTGCTATGAGATTTCTCAGTAATAGTACACTCAAAGGCTTAGATACCCACAAAATGGTAGTGTGTAATTTAGATTAAGTATAATGTTGGAAGGACAAAATTACCTCCATAATTCAATAAAAAGAAATGGAAGTTCCCAAGAAATACATATTCAAATAAGGAGGTTTCATTTCTAAAGACTATTATTACACTAAGACTTTCATGTAACAGTGCTACATCCTTATAGGTTTAATAGTAAAGTTAAAGGAATGTCTGAAACATTCCTTTCCAGCTCCTGGCATACTTTGCACAATTCTTCATTTAAACTTCAAAAGACAAAAACATGAACAGAACTACACGTGACATGAACATCACACATGTAAAAAATATAGAATTGCATAATCACGTATCAGGATATGCCACTTAACATTCGCAATCTCTAATACTTAATCAGTAGTCATTAACAAACTACACAAAACCATTAACAAGGTGTAAAGATATGTGCCTCTAAGGGATCCTTACAATCAGGTTTCAACAATTGTGAACTGCAGTTGACAGTTCACAATTGCTGCCATTCATTAGAGTTCCTGGAATGCAGGCTACAGAGTTCACACTCGTCAGCTATCTATGGAAAAGAATCAGCACCGTTCCTTTTCCAAAAAGGACGTTGATGGTGTGCACCTCCCCCACGTAGAGAAGGAATGTGTTAAATATGAAGGTAGTTTAAATAAACTTGTAATGTTCACAAGATGAGTACCCATTTTTTCTGAGAGCTGTATTATTTTCAACTTTCATTACATAATTCAGTTTACACAAAATCAATTTGAAGAGTCTTTAGGACTTGTCCATAGCCTGCCTTTTCACAGAATGGCTAGAATGTCATCATATACATATTATGGTCATTAATAAGATAAGGTCAATAGTGATACTAATAGAGAAGAGCTATAAGATTATTTTCTTACTTTGTAACATATGACCATCAACCATTTTAAAGGTATTTGAAGATGAAATTCTTGAAATTTTTAACTTTTTAATAAATGCAATTTATTCACAGGGTAATTCTCCATCAACTTTAACAACCTCAATACCTTTTGGTCTACTCCCATATTCCTTCCTTCCCAAATAAACTTACCGCTAATAATTTTTTATTGAAAGCAAAAAAGAAAAAAAAAAGAAAGCAAATATATTATTTACAAACAACCATTACTTCCTATTTCCATAGAACATGTACTTTGTCAACCTAATTATAAAGTTTATGCCAGAAATTAGTCAAGACTTCTCACCTCAGTTTTACATTTGAATAACTGCAAGTAAAATGAAGTATGATTTTAGTATCAGAAGCCTACCCCAAACTCCATAAGCCAGAATTCACCTCTGCAATTAAAATGCCTGGAAAAAGTGTTATTTAATTAAAACATAAAACTTTAAAGGCTGTTCATTGCTTTTTGTTTTAAAGACTACTTTTATTTAATGGATTTATTCCTTCACCAGGTGTGTTGGTCCAATGACAAAACAGTCAAATGTGTTAAGATTACATTTTAGAAAACTAGCGTGATAAAAACCAGCAAATACAATAACAAGATTAGGAAGGCACATTTGATGAGACACAGATTTTCGACCTGGGGAGGAGCATCAAGGACCTGCACACACCTCCAATCCCCTGCCCTGAAATAATCGTTGCAATAAGAACACTGATACAGTAGTATCTATGGTTCAAGTAATCACGTTGGAGATTAAACTCTTGAAATTATTAACTCTTCTTAATAAAGAGGAGAAATAAATGCAATTCTGAGGTCAAGCCCTGAAGACTACAGCCCAGAGTTTCCATGTATCAACAGCTCTCTCTGCTTCCTGTTGTTTCATATGAAAGTTCTGGGGAAAAATAATTACATATACTGTAAATAGAGAGGTGTGAAGGTAAGGGAAAATACAGTTTTCATTCATGGGTATGTATGCATGTAGGGAAGGAAGGCAGCCATCATTTCTGGTGAGAGATGGAGGCAGTGCACAGGAGCAGGGAGGTTAGAAGCAAATGGTTATTTGCCAAACCATCCCTCCAACATTGGCTTCTGGTAGCTAGGTTAGGGAAGATTGCCTGCTGATTATTACCCAAGGTGACATTCTAACCTAAATCTACATTTGGAGCATGCCCTGTGTGGGAAAGGTGTAGTATGAAAGGGACTACGAAAGAAGTGAGGGTTTCTTCTGAGAAGAGCTTGTGGAATCAGCTTCCTTACTCAGTAGTCTCATTCATAAACAATCGCAGTGACTAGTTATCTCACTTATGGACTCCAATAGTGGTATTCTAGTAGTTCTTAAATGGTAGAAAGACTCCCATAAAGAAGTCACCTATAAAAAAACCCAAAACAACCAAACAAATTTTGGAAAGGCAGGGAAGATGAATTGCAGTGAGCATTTCAAACCAACATTTCAAAGTAAAGCATGTGAAAAAACGTTAAAGAGCCAGAAAAGGTTATAATAGAGCTCACTGTATTTTCTACATACCAGTTATTCTAGAAATCCATAAAAATAGCTTTGACCTTTCATCACCATATCTAAAATTAACCTCTCTCAAAACAAAAATCCAGCAACTAAACATCTGTAAAGTGTCTGAAACTTTCTTTCTATAATTTTTAAGTCATTTTAAAGCTTTGTACCAACTCAGTTTTAAACATTTGCTTACATAATGTATGCCAAATTTTCTTTAAGATCCTCATTAGATTAAGCCAGAAGCAAACATTGACTGTGGTGGAATTGGTGAGACAATACACCAATTTTCCCTGAACTACTGAGCTCATCCCGTACATAGAGGGAGTTGATTATTGGCATTTATTGAAATTACACCACAGTTTTCACTACCTTAAAGTCTGTTTCATGCTTCCCTTTCCATAGCCAAGAGAAAAATGGAAGAACATCTTTCCAAAACACTTGGTCGCTTAAAAAAATCAACCAACCAGAGAGAAGTCACTGGAAAGGCTGACCTTCTCCACCCTTGCAAAGGCTCCCAGCCACAGGCCCTTCTTCCACGCTGGAGCTGCCACTTCATCTCTCTCCCAGTCTTTCCAGACACACTGGATCAGGTTCCTCGCTGGGGCGTTTTTCTAAGGCTTGCCTGGCTTTCCAGAAGGGGAACTTTTTTTTCTAAGTATTTCCAGTCTCAGCCTCTGCTCACTGACCAAAACAACAGCAAAGTGCCACCACGGTTCCAGAGTGATCTCCACAAGAGGCAGTCTTGGGGAGCAGAACCGACTGCCTCTGAATTCTGCGGAGTATGTAAAAACCATCTTTTTGAGTAAGCAATTGTGACAAGCCCGGTCTCTCCTACCCATCTGTCCCTCACCGATCTGAAACGGGTACCTTTGCCAGGGGCTGGAGAGTCAACTTTAATAACCACACACTTGCTTTTGTATTTCAAAATGCGAAGGGGCTGAAATCTGGGAGGGGGGGTGTGTGTGGAGGGGGGTGGATATCCCCAAGGCCCCAGGTGTGGCCCAGCATCTTTAGCAAGCACTGAAAAGCGATGCGTCCATACCTGTCGTCATCGCCGTCCACGGGGATGGCTATGCTGAACACGGAGGTGGCCAGACTGTTCATGGGGGTGAGCTGCAGGGGGTTGGCCAGCGCGTCGGCGGCGGGCGGCTTCGCGGCAGGCTTGTGGTCAGCAAGGAGGGCGAGCGGCGGCTGAGGTAGGGGCTCGGATTTTCTTCGGGCGTCGTCCGCTTGTCC